TTATTTTCAGCATATACAAAATTTAGAACTTCTAACTTAACTCGCAGTAGTAAGATAAAATTATTTAATATCATGTCATTTCTCATAGGATATTGGGTTATAGAAAGACATAAAGCAAGACTAAATCTGCTCAAAACTATTGCAGATCTTCTACGCCAGCTCTTTAGCATCTATTGTATCACAAGCAGGGATTATTAAGACTCAAACTTAAGCGTTTGGGTGCACCATTCTTCAATTTACTCCTCTACAACAACTGCAACCTGATTATCAAATAAATGGTTCCTTTCATCTATACGTCAATATGTGTACCCCAAACTATTTCTGTTTAGAATCCTAAAAAGACCTATTAATTACCCATCATTGGTTTCGATTTTTATAATTATTTCTGATGTTTTGTTGAAAGCTTTTCTTCGTATCTCTGCTTCCTTTATATGCTTTTAAATATCGACCTATTGAATGCACAAGGTATTGTACATGATATTTGCTGAAAAACATGTCATATCAAAGATTTTCATAAAACACTGAGAATATTGTGAATAGAAAAGAAATAAATTTTTATCTCTAAACTTCAAAGTCTGTCATTAAAAATTTATGTGTACTCTCGTACTCGTAATACTTCAATGACATTGACAATATTTTATGGTGAACGAAGTGAAGTAGTAAATGCCGCTTACGTTTATATCCTTAGAAGCATTCCTTGTTGACCGTTGGCCATATATTTTGATCCATTCGAAAATCATGATGGTCACTTTGACTTTGATTTATGCGGTTAAATGTAAACGACATTTCAAAGTTTTATATTTTTTTGCAGATACCTAAGCTATATAGTATATAGTAATAGCAAAATATAGTGAAAACCGATTTACTCTTACTCTGCGAAAACTATACAGCAAAGTATGTGAAGAGGAAGAAACATCATATGCGTTTTGGCAGAATATTTCATTTTTTTTTTTTTTTGCTATTCGAAGTAAAATCATAAAATGAAATGAAAATGGTGAAAAATTCTGTGGCATAGCATTTGACTGAATTGTGTTTCCGACTCTACCGATAACCCAAATAATTTTATTAAACCGAAACATAATATGTACGTACTTGGAGGCAGTTGCAGTTGCAGTTGCACACATTGGCCGCATTAACCACATGCAGATTCACACAGATACGAGTGCAACTAAAAATTTTGACTGGAATTTATGTAAACCACTTAATTGGGTTAAAATTATTTTATTTATATTGTATTTATTGTTTTGTTTACTTTGGGTTATATTTTAACACATATGTTGAACCTTTACACTACCTATCAAAAAAATAGAGACAAAATATAAAATACTGTTTATGAAATATTGTAATTATCCTTTAAATAATGCATCAATCATAGACATAATATGCTTGAATTCATACTAAGGCCCAACATACAGTTTCACTTAATCAAGTCAAAAAAGGAAAGAATACCTTAAATACTCGTATTAACAGATAGACAAACGGATATCGTTAAATTGATTTATCTTAACATGATGCTCAAATATATGATATGTATGTGAATCCTTAGAACGAGAAGCGGAAATTTCTTCTTGAAAAAATTAATGAGAAGAGTAGAGATTTTGGCCTATCCATGAATACCAAAAAAAAACAAAATACATGATCATCAGTAGAAAACGACTAACATAAAACGATGCTACCATCAAAATTGGAACTGAAGCTATTGAACGAGTACCTAAGTTAAACTACCTTGGCTGCTAGCTAAATGAAGAGTGGACATCATCATATCAAGAAATTAAGTGTCCAATAGAGATGGCTAGAAACTCTTTCCGCAAATTCAGAAAAGTGGTGTGCCATAGTAACATTAGCATCCGCTATGTGAAATGCTATGTCTGGTGGACTTTAAAAACCCTTACATTGAATAGAAGCTTTTGAAATGTGGTGCTACAGACGTATTCTAATAAGATGACAACTCCTAAAAACTTTCAAAAAAAAAAAATGAGGTATTTTGGTCATATCATCCAAGGATATCATCCCTTGAAGGCTGAATCGAAAACAAACGCAGCTTGGAAAGAAAACAAATATATTGGCTAAAGAATATCCGCCACTGAATTGGGTTAAGAACGATTGGAGACTTGGTACATAGAGACAGTGAAAACTTCAAAAACATTATTTCTAACCAATTATAGTTTATGTGATTTTATAACATTTAATTATTGAATAAACAATTAAAGAAGAAGAAGATTGGGTCTAAAGCTTGAAAATATATTTTTTTAAAAATACTTAGGTTTTATAAAAATTTTTATTTACATCATAGTCGATATCTATATACTGCGGTCTTCTTCAGGGAACGATTGGTACTATTATTACTAATAGTACTATTTCAACGATTACTACTATTAGTACTATCTGTAGAATTCTGAAGGCGACTAGAGCATATATTTGAAGTATTGGTGTGAATAAGAAATTGTTTGAAAACCTAATTTTTTTAAAAAAGTAGTGGATAACTTACTTCGAGTAGAGTTTTTTAAGAATGGTGCATGAGAGAAGAAAATTTAAGCCAACAAATAAAAGAAGTTTTTTGGAATAAGAACTGATATACAATTAATTCTTATTGAATCACCTCTTTTTGGAATACTGGGAACAATTGGATTCAAGGGTTATTTTTATTAATGAGACTCAGTGATACTTTATATATACATAAATATTGAAAAAGAAAAAAAAAAGCCATTATTTTCGTTTAAGAATTACCTCCTGAAGTTAACCATTTTAAAGGCTTTCCTGATAGATCGTGCATGCTTAAAGAACTACGGCACATATGATTTGGATTTAAATTCCACTAATGATAAAATTTAGGTCTTGTCTAAAAAACTCTTTAAAAATCTTCAATACAAATATTTGATGGCTATGTCTCAAGAGTAGAGTTTCAAGCACTCCTATAGCTACTGCAAAGTCTACATAAAGTTTAATTTTGTCTGGCATCGCTTGAGACCAAGAGAACCATTCATAGCTTATGGCGTGCCAGATTTATTGAACATCAGTTTTTTGAAACAAATATACTATGTACATATTAAATGCTCTATATAACGCGCTTTAATAAAATTAATATATCATTTATATATTTATAAATTAATATTTATAAATAAATTAATATACCTTGAATATTCTACTTCAAATTTTTAAAAACTGGTTTGTCTCAATTCTTATGTCTATGAGTGTAACACATTTCCCATATTGTGAAAAAAGGAATGGACTATAAATTTTATCATTTACATTACTTCTTGATTTAATGTAGTTCATTTTAATGTAAAATGGTTTTCGTAAATTTATTGCAATTATTTTAGCCAAAATTTTGCCAAAATATAAGTGCAATGATTCTTCGATTACATTCACATTTGGGCCATATGCTACGATTGGAAGACCCATTTATTTATTGTAATTGTTTCTAGCTATTAAAATTCATTTAGTTAGTCAATTTATAGGGACTTTAATTAATAGTGAAATAATCGAATACAATGAGACATTTGCTTATATATCTAAATAGAGGAGCCAATTAAATGTAAATTCTCTTAAGCAAAATCTCTGTTATACAGGAGTACCAAATACTCTTATCTCTGGTTTTTTTATTGTTTTCAATGGATGCAACTTGAACTCATCCTTATACAAAGAAATCAAGACGGCAATCAATAAAGTAAGAAGTAATCAATAAAATTCATCTAAGCGTTACTTCAGTATATTATGTTGGGTCCTATATATTTTGAGAACTGTTAGAATCATCACTAAGACTACTCACCGTATCATGAATTACTAGTTATGAGTGCCCAATTGCAAGAAATATAACTTTACACTTAAATTACTTAAATCGGTATTTTTAAATAATATGCATATCTGAGAGAAATTACAATGAAATAGATCTCTCGATACAGTGATTCCAAAACTAATCTGCATGTGGTCTTCACAAATACAGAATCTCGCATCTGCGGAGTGAATGGTTCACTGATTTCTATCGAAGATTTAAACTCGACGTTTAGAAGGCGGCATAACTGCATCTATACAGATACTTAAGTAAATCCTTTTCGAAAATTGTGGTTGACTGCTATATAAAACTGTAGTAAAAGGAAGCAGAAATAGAATATTGCCTTTGCTGGATGACTATTGGATTGACTATTGGATGCTAGATGAAATATGTTGAACAGAGTGTTATAACGAGAGCTTCGAAAGAAAAGTGGTTTACTACCGAAAAAAGTTGCTCATGGGACGAACATTCAAGTTACCTAAAGACTGGTTTGTCTCTACATATACTGTAGGATAGTCTCTCGGAGAGCAAAACTGACATCCTTATACCCAGTAAAGTTGCTGGCAGGTTATTTTATGATGGCATTCATTATCATCTTAACATTAGAAATCAATCTAAGAATATTGGCTCTGATTAAAGGCAGTTACGAGCTCTAATCCCTTTTTTGTGACCGACTTTGAGATATCCAGGAGAAAATCAGTAGACTGGTAGTTCCTTTCCCATTCTGATATCAGGATGTCCGTAATTGCCAACATTTTGAAACTCAATCGATATTCTTAATGTTTTATATGCAGGGTGGTCATACCAGGCATGATCAGTTCGTTGCCCTATTTATTCATTTCGTATAATTATATTGCGACCATTTCTAAATAATTACATAAGTAACGAGGGGAAGGACTCCTAAAACATGCTAACATGTGCAAGTGCTGATAATTTCAAGTATAGTCCAATCCTTATTCGTAACCACAAATGTGAATATAGTGAAAAAACCATTTAGATGTATCTTCTAAATAAGAAAACATATGTACTAATATAAAATATCCCACCTATTTACATTCTCATAAAGTTCACCTACCTCGCAGGTAGGTTTTACTAAAACAAATTTATGTTGAAATAAAAACTAAATTAAAATTAATAAAAAATTTTACAGCTATTTTAAATTTTAAACTTAGTAGCTTAGAAATATATAAAATTAGTTACGTTATATATAAAAATTTAAAACAAAAAAAATTGTTAACCAGTACGTTCATTCGGAGAAGACTAAATTCACTTTCTCAACATGGCAAATAAAAAACATAATGAAAGTCAACAAAATTTGTAAGTAAAACATATTTTAAATTAAAATTTAAAATTACTACAGAAATGTATGTGCAGAGACAGGGACTGGACCTTAGCAAATATCGAGGAAGAGTTTGACCGCATTGATCGTCTTATGACTGATGGGAGTACACATGATATAGCTGAAAATTTAGCTCTACAGACCAAACTGTTAAAGGTAAACTTATAATATTTATTAACTTAATAAAAAATGTAATAAAATTAAAAATTATATATAAAATTACAAATATATATATAATTATTACTAACCAAATTATTCTCAACTTTAGATTAAAATGGATAGTTTCCTGCAATCTTCTTATGAACGTGTAGAATTCTACATGAATGAAATGTCTCGTCTTAATGCTCTTTCGCACAAAGAGAATATTCGTGTATCTGATGGCAAATGCCAATTAAAAAATTATTGTTCGAATTTCTCACTTCCTACAATCCGTGAGGAAACAGCTGAGGAACTTGTCGAATATAAAAATTATAATGTCAAAAATGCTGCTGTCCTTTATAGCAAGAGATCAAAAAACTCCTCCTCCGATCCTAATGATGACTCAATTGGTAAAACTAACTCTCCTTCCACCGGTGATGGTACAAATACTCGTGGGAAAGGAAAACGCCTGTAGTCATTTATAATTATTAAAAAATAATTAAAAACAAATTTTTCTAAATGAAATAATTATTTATATTTTAATTATTTTTTCAAAAATTCAATTTTTATTTTGATAAATAAAATTTGAAGTTCAGAATTCATTGTGTTAATGAAGAGGTCTCACGATTAATATATAAATCTGCGAACAATTATTATACTTCTGTGAGAAAGTGCAAAAAATGTGTAAGACATTCTATATGATATCGAATCCAATATATATTATACGTAAACTAATCATATTTTTATGATTATATCATTATGTTGAAGCTATTTGAGCCAGTGCAATTGAGCACTTTTACTCTTAATAATTTCGAGGTATCTTCAAAACCTCTCTTTACGCCTTGACTGAATTATTGTTTATCACTTCATCAGACTAAACAATAATTGACATCAGATATGCATACCTCCCCGAGAAGCCTGTAACCATTCTGAGATTTGATTTTATTGTATATAAGAAAAAAGTAAATTATGGCCGTGTGCGAGTTCGAGTAAATTGAGGTAAAGTAAATTGAAATTTCCTAGGGATTATTTGCGCTGCACTTATGTAAGTTAGTTAGTTGTGGTGGAGAGAGGATGAATCCTCCTCAAATAGCTAAGGATGAAAGCCGTTTTGAATCCACAAAAACAGAGGCATTAATAAAGGCAAGAATCTGGCTAATGCTGATACTGGAGATATCGCTAAGTGAGTTGAAGAAAGGGGCCCCTAGAAACTTAAACCTAGTTCTGGCCAGACCTGGACAAAAACACATCAGGTGTTCTGGTGTCATTTCTTCAAGTATTGGTAGACACGCATTGCATGAGGTATCACAGGGAAGGCCAAGTCTAGCCCCATGCCGTCCTATGGAGCAGTGACCCGTAAGGACGGATATTAGCTTAGAAACCTCAGATTTGTTTCTACAGAGCACTTATGTAAATATTTATTTATTTTCTTTACTGCACTTATTTATTATTTTTGGTTAAAAGTTTTCAAATGTTTTTATTTATTTATTAAACATCTTATAAAATTTTCACAAGGGTAACACCTAATTTACCTAATTTTTACCTAATTTACCCTACTCGAAATTCTGGTAAATACCAACATTCGCTGCCATACCGACATATTTTACTATTTCCTACAATTTTCCATCAATTTACACGAACTCGGACACGGCCTAAATATACATAAACATTTCGGTTTTTAGCGTTAAATACAGCATTAGCCTTATATTTATATTATATAGTTTACGATAATAGCCTTTATACAATAAATTTAGTCAAAAGTATAAAATTTTTTGAATTTATTTATCGACCTGTTTTTTTTTATAATGATTTTTATATATTTTTTAATCCAGCTATAGATTCATTTATGTTAAATAATTCAGCGTTTAATATTTTTTATTATATTTCAAATATAGACTCTCAATATAGACAAAAGAATAGAGTATATGACGTAGATATAGTTTTGCTAATAACCAATCGCCAAACGATAATATTCGCCGAAGAATGATAACTTACTACTCGCCTGTGTTAAGGCTCAGTTAGACGGTAAGTAACGTAAGAAATTAATTCAAAGCGAAACGCGCAATCAGCCAAATCTGCTTATTTGATAGGAACGAAATAAACAAAAGCGGCGAACATTATTTATTTCGTTCCTATCAAATACGCAGGTTTGATTGATTGCGCATTTCGCTTTGAATTATTTTCTTACGTTAATTACCGTCTAACTGAGCCTTTATTGTTTGGGTATGTTATTAACCTAGCTAGCATAAACAATAGCCAAACGATAATACTCGGAAAAAAATGATTACTTATTGCTCGCCTGGGTTATTGTTTGGGTATTGTTATTAATTATTCTAATAACTATTATTATGTTGAAGCTATTTAAGCCAGTGCACTTGAGCACTTTTACTCTTTATTAACTCGAGGTGTCTTCAAAATCTCTCTTTACGCCTTGAATTTGATAAGGAAATTTTGATATCTTCCATTTAATGATTTCGAGCACGACACAAAATTATTTTTGGTAAATTATCCGCCAAACGTGATGCTGTACCATACGGAGTCTCTGAAAAATGGTAGAGTATTCTGCTGACAATATTTTTAATGCTGTTTCGTCAGCATTATGGTGTATTTTTTAATTTAACACCGCTATACTGTTTTAAGTTCAAAGATAAAAAATACTCAAATGCAGACACCAATATGTCTGGAACATTAAAAAAATAGCTTTTAGTGATTGGAACATCGAAAAGTCCGCAATGTTTTCAGAAAGTTCACTATTAGTCAGTTAAATACAAATATAATACAAAGACATAGATAACGTCAAAACTTTTTGAGAAATGAGTAAGTGATTGGGTAAAGGTCTTACAAAAGAATAAAGAAAAATATGTTTCAAACTTTCCTACTCATCGTTATGTTAAAGATTTTAACCCAATCAAACTGTTTTTTTTTTGTCATCGAACGTTACATCAATATTACAGCCTATGGATCAAGACATAAAATCATTGAAGACGAATTATCGAAATCGACAACATTGATAATTTCAAAGAGCCAAAATTAAATCTTTCGCAACAATTTTAATGTTGAAAGGATCATGGAATGATGTGAAACCTAATACAATCTCAAACTGTTTTCACCATGCAGGCTTCGCTGAATGTCCATTATTAATTGAAATGAATACAATATCTTCATCGTCTGGTACGACACACAGGCTTTCGTCGAAACTGTTGAAAATGTAGTAGGCTTTGACGATAATCGTTATATATGCCAGGAATATAACAACGACGCTATTTGAACATCTATTACTGCTGTACAAGACGAATGTTAAGATGATAGCAATAACCAAAGCGATAATACACCCTTTGAGTGTCCTCTAATAGCTAAGGCCTGCGAAGCGTTTAAGGTTTTGTAAAAATACTTATTATTTAATGAATTTTCAAGTAATTATTCTGTATTAAATGGTCTATCTTACATAAGAAATAATTTATTTATTCAAATCAGTATGTATTAATTCAATTTGATTTTTTCCTATAAACTCAATAATTTATCTTAAATTTGTATTTTTTTGTATCATATAAACAATTTATATCATTTATATTTATGAGATTTGATTTATATTAAAATGAGAATAAAAGATATTTATTAAAATATTGCTTACAACGATTTGCGATTATAGTGACTTATTTCTGCCGGTCGTTTGAGGTCGTTGTAAACTGGAAGATTGAGATCATCAACAAGTTTTATAATAATCGGATTCTCTCCCACCCGAATTATTTCTGCGAGTTCGTTTGAGGTCGTTGTAAACTGGGAGATTAAGATCATCAAAGACTTTATCAACGATCTTTATCATCACCGGATTGTTTCCCATGCGACTGAGCAAATAAAGATAAGTGAGGGTGACACCTGATGGTAGCAAATATGAGCTGAGTAAAATAGTTGCTGGTTCCTTAATATCATTAATAGAGACATTTTGTAACGTTTCCTTGGCATAAGTACTTGCATTACTTGCTACCGTTTTGAAACGCAGAAGAGCTTCCTGCAAATAGAGAAATATTTAAATATTTATATTTTAGATATATAAAATTTTTAATATTTTCAAATAAGGTGAACAGCGTTTACACAAATAAAAAAAGTTAAATAAAGTAACTTAAAATCTATTATGGATTAATAACATAATGACATCCAATATGAAGCATGTAGCTGATTAATTAAGTGATGCAGAAAACTTACAAAAGCGATTTAAAATCAAAAATCTTTCCAATTATACATTTATAAAATATAGTAAATACTAATAATTTGAATTATAAACATTATTGCTGTTTTTTTTGAGAAGACTTTCAGCTAAGCAGCAGATAAGAAATGACCTCACTTGATTAGCAAAAACTAATTGAATCTAAGCGCTTATCACCTCAAAGTAACTTTATATATTTTATCTGTTTTAAAAAATACCAAAAACTTACAGCAATCGCACATACTAATTTCCATAGATACGACAAAAAACGTTTCCAATCAAATTTATTTTCATCTTCCATAAGTGTTTTTTGCAGGACACCTGATAAGCGATTGCCTTCGCATCTCACTTGATGTTTGTACAGAAAATGGCGACCACATAACGCTACGGAAACTCCAAATCCACCAAATATTAGTGTATGCCTTGATAAGCCATTACTCTTGCTTGTTCCCTGTGTGCTCCTATGTGTTTTTGTTTCCAAATTTCGTACCAATTTATTAATACTTTTCAGCCTGGCACTAAAATCTCGGGCAGTGTTTATTTTTGTATGTACATGATATCTGGGCAGTTGTAGAAATTGACTTCTGTAAAGAAACATAAAATGTTTTAACAATATTTCTATGGAAATTTTTTGGTATGACATAATCCTGCCTAGCAGTTTACCTTCGTCCGCAACTTGACACCAACAAACCCAACATTATTGTCACCTTTTCAACACACCTCAGATAAGCACTTCGATTTTATTTTATTTTATTTTATTATTAGTTTTATATGTTTTGCACCAATTGATTTTTTTTATCGTTCGTTAATATTGTTTATAAAAATTTTGTTAAAAATGACAGATAAAATCGTTGCTAAGCCAAACAAAACTTCTGTAACAATACACAGCTAGAATTCAAATGCATTAAGATGCTTAGTTGATCAACACGGCGAGATATGCATGCACAATTTTCAAATGCAAGGTGGACTTTACATGAAATTTACAAGGAGTTCTGACGAGGATCTCTCAACTCACCACACTCACAAATCTTGCAAAAGATCGTTTCAAAAATGTTTAAATATATATTTTTTATATTTATATACATTGAATAAAAAACAACTTTACGCGTATATATCAAATGTTTAACTACCTTTATATTTATATTTTCGTTTCTTAAATACTAAATCTAACATGCTATTCCGTTTAAAAATGTTACGCTTTAATTAGCTTGGGTTTTACTCACTGGTAGACAGTCCATTATTTGTATAACACAACCTTGTCTGCCGTCATTGTTTAAATTATCCGTTATTCCTTTTCTTT